CCGGGGCTGCAGCAGCGCCCACTGGGTCGCATGGCGGCTACTGGCCAATGCTGATTGCAGGCAGGGCAGAAGGAGATTATTAACCAGCCTTCTCCGCCACAGATTGCACAGCACTTCCCAAAGGACATCAGTACCGTTGTTCCCATTTTATGGGAGGGGAAACTGAGGCACGGAGGTGGACTTGCCCCAGCTCTTCCAACAAGCTAGTAGTAGAGAAAGGACTAGAACGCAGGTCATCTGAGTTCCACACCAGCGGTCTAGTCTGTGGACAATACGGCCTCGCAAGCCAGAAGATGGGGGTTGATTGTCACTGTGAATGACAAGTGGAAAGGCTTGAAGAAGGGGAAAATTCCCTACTGGAGATTTTCTTACAGCATCTGACCTACTTCTGTGACCTGTAACTGCTGTGCCTGGGAGCAGTGGCACAGTAAGAAATGGCTCGGCGCTATCCCAGATCTCTGCCACAGGGTACACAGAGAACCAGCTTTGCCATCTCAGGCTACGTCCACACTGCGGCAGTTTTTCGGAAGAGGAAATGCAAATGATGCACTCGTTTGCAAATCTCACGCTCTCATTTGCATAGTCTCTCCCGATCCTTTTTGCGAGGAGGTTTTTGCAATAAAAAGCCTTGTGTACACGGGGCCGCCTTCTAACCCTTTTTGCAGAAGAGGCTTTTGTAGGAAAAAAACCTGCAGTGTAGACTGAGCCATTTTTCGGAAAAAACCCTTTTGTGCAAGATCCTGTAAATCTCATTTTTTGAGGTATAACAATTCGCAAAAAGGATTGGAAGAGAATATGCAAATGAGAGCATGAGATTTGCAAATGAGCACTTCATTTGCATTTTCTCTTCCGAAAAACTGCCACAGTGTGGACGTAGCCTCAGGCAGAGCAGGGAAGACAAAGATCGTCCCATTTCACGGAGGGTTCTCATCTGGCAAAATCAGGTTTGTTCTGCGTGGAACCGAAATCAAAAGGTTTGAAATTCTCCCGGACAGGAAATGAAAGCCCAGTGCTGCAGAGGCTGGAGGAGCCTGGCTCCAAGTAGTCTGCTATGGCTACATCTACACTGCAAGCTTATTTCGGAAACAGCTATTCCAGAAGATACCTTATTTTGAAATAGAGTGTCCACACTGCAGAGAAGGCTCAGAATGAGTCCGAGGCAGGCTCCTAATATGGACGCGCTCTCTCAATGTAGAGCCCCAGGAGGCACTGAGGACGAATGGCCCTGGGCCGGAGCTATTTCAACACAGCAGCAAAGTGTCCACACGCACCCTCTTCTCAAATAGCTTTTTCAGAAGAGGCCTTATTCCTCGTGGAATGAGGTTTCCCAAAGTTGGAAAAAGCCCTCCCTTATTTCGATTTTCTTTCGAAATAACGCAATTGCAGTGTGGACGCTAATATTTTTTATCAGGAAAAATGGCTGTTATTCCGGACTAACAGTGCAGTATAGACACACCCTAAGCTGCTGAGCCCTGATCCCCCGACTGAGCACAGCCACCTGCTGGGCTGCACCTGGAGCCAGGGAACATGGAAGTCCCGACTGCTCTGGAGCTGTGAGTGGAGGTTGGGAATCAGGACTTTCAGAGCCGCCAGCTCCTGCGGAGCCTGCCAGCCGGGCTGCTGGCAGGGAACCAGGCAGCGCCCAATGGAAACCTCCCTCAGAACTTCATCAAAACTCGTGAAGTCATTCTGCCGCTCTACTCTGCACTAGTTAGGCCTCAGCTGGAGTACTGTGTCCAGTTCTGGGCGCCACATTTCAAGAAAGATGTGGAGAAATTGGAAAGGGTACAGAGAAGAGCGACAAGAATGATTAAAGGTCTAGAGAACATGACCTATGAAGCCAGGCTTCATGAACTGGGCTTGTTTAGTTTGGAAAAAAGAAGATTAAGGGGGGACATGATAGCGGTTTTCAAATATCTAAAAGGGTGTCACAAGGAGGAAGGAGAAAATTTGTTCCTCTGGGTTTCTGAGGACAGGACAAGGAGTAATGGGCTTAAAGTGCAGCAGGGGAGGTTTAGATTGGACATTAGGAAAAAATTCCTAACTGTCAGGGTGGTCAAATATTGGAATAAATTGCCAAGGGAGGTGGTGGAATCTCCCTCCCTGGAGATATTTAAGAACAGGTTAGATAGACATCTGTCAGGGATGGTGTAGGTGGAGCTTGGTCCTGCCTTGAGGGTGGGGGGCTGGACTCGATGACCTCTCGAGGTCCCTTCCAGTCCTATTATTCTATGATTCTATGAAAATCAATCCCTCGCCTGGAGCCTTTTCGATGTCGAGGAATCAGCCAAGTCACTCCCCCGCCCCTCCCCCCAAAAAGTGTTTTGTCTCAACGTTCCCGCCCAGCGGTTGGTGGGGCAGCAGGAGGGGAGTGTCCGTTCCATGCGGGCGGGGGTGACCTGGGGACAGGCTGGAGCCGGCTCGCTGGGGGCTCTGGTCTGCGAGAGGAGATGGGTTGTGCCTCACGGCCAGACGTTCATGGAGAGTTTTGGATCAGGCCCTCCCCAAATCAAGTCATTTCAAATACCTGGCAGGCCGCCAGCAAATCGATGGAGGAGAAGCTGTTCTCTCTCGCCACAGAGGGCAGGACAGGAGGCAGTGGGGTCAAACTCCAGCAGAGCCGATTTCGATTAAATCTCAAGAAAAGCTTCCGACCGGTAAGAAGAGCAGGACCGAGCTGCCTAAGGACGCTGTGGAAGCTCCTTCCCTGGTGATTTTCAAGAGGCGGCTGGACAGCCGTCTGTCCTGGATGGGTTCAACACAACAAGCCCGGCCTCGAGGGAAGCAGGCTGGAGCCATACCCCTGCAGTGGGGGGTGGTTTGCAGAGCGGGGGAGGGTGAGTTCGAGCCCTGCCCCTGTGGGCTTGGAGGCAGGGCCTTAGGTGGAAGAGGCGGGGCTCCCCCATCCCTGGTTCCTCCACCACCCGTGGCAGAACAGATTTAATCTCAGGAAAATCTTGCCAAGTGTAAGAACGGCAGGACAAGGGGACAGAGCCCTGGGGGTGGGGGAAGGGCCTTCGCTGGAGGTTTCCAAAAGGAGGCTGGAGCAGTCTCTCTTGCATGGCTCAGACACAGCAACTCTCCTCCCGGCAGAGGGTTGGATTAGGGGAGGCTGGCGGGGCCTCCTGAGCAGTGGGAAGACGCCCATTAACGGCGGGGGGGGTTTGGGG